GCTTGGGCGGAGGTGGTGGCATCGCTCGGCGCAAGGGCGCCGACCTGAGGCGGCCAGAGGACAGTCCTGTGGCTGAGCTGTGAGGCGACGTAAGACTTAGCATCTGTAATGTTCTGCTGGGGGCGGCAAGGCCCGCCGTAGGTTTCCCCAGAGAAAAGCGGCACGTGCTGAGGCCGCTGGCCCACCTCGCCTTGGGCGCGCCGCCGCGCGCTGGGCTGAGGTGCCGAGCCAGGGGCACTCACTCGTGGGCGCGAGCACGCGGGTTTAAAATACTACTCCTCCTCCTCCTCCTCCTCCTCCTCCTCCTCCTCCTCCTCCTCCTCCTCCTCCTCCTCCTCCTCCTCCTCCTCCTCCTCCTCCTCCTCCTCCTCCTCCTCCTCCTCTCCTCCCCCCCTCCCCCTCCTCCTCTTCCTCCTCCTCCCCTCCTCCTCCTCCTCCTCTCCTCCTCTCCTCCTCCTCCCTCCCCCTCCTCCTCCTCCTCCTCCTCCTCCTCCCCCTCCCCCTCCTCCTCCCTCCTCCTCCTCCCTCCTACTCCTCCTCCTCCTCCTCCTCCTCCTCCTCCTCCTCCTCCTCCTTTTCCTCCTCCTCCTCCTCCTTCTCCTACTGTGTTTGGGGTCCAATGCTGGACGATCGTGGGTCCTTGGGCCCAGAGCTAGTCTATAGAGACCGAGAGGCAGGTGCTGCCCTCTCCGCCTTGCGCAAGGCTGTTGCTAAAGCGCCAGCTGTGGACATGGTGCCCGAGCTCGTCTTCCTGGATTCGCTGTCCGTCAATGCAGCGATGTACGCGTCCGGGGCTTGGTATGATCTTAGCAATACTGAGGTGGCCGAATTTCATGCTCATAATGTCAGGAGGTACCGATATATCATGCGATTGGCACGTTTTGAGGCAGGTGGACCTACCAACAGGGAGGTTCTGGTTAAAGCACATCGTCCTTTGGCCACCTCCATCTTGCGAGTTTCAAGGTTGCGACTCTTTGGCCAAGTGCTGCACTCGGTGCCGCCTCCGCTCAAGGCTTTGCTGCAGGCAGAGCTTCTGACCTCTAGCATCTAGCAAGTCTTGGCTGCATGAGGTGCGAGAGGATCTCTTGTGGTTCCGTGCCTCGCCTCACAATTTTAAAGAACTTTCTCTACCAAGCGGGGATCCTCAGGCATGGGTGACAGAAGTTCTCAGGTCGTCCTCGGGTTGGAAGAGGACCCTGAGGGAGGCTTTGGATACGTCAGTGGCCAGATTTCAGAGAAACCTCAAGGCTCAACAATGGGAGTCTCGGGTCATGACCATGTTGACTGCAGCTGGCTTGCCAAGCCGGAAGGATCAGCAAGGTGCCAGTCCGCCGGCCATGACATGCCATGTTCGCCCACAGAGCTTCACCAGCATGCGAGCATGCGTTCCTTGGATGCACACGCGCGTGCCGTGCATTCCACAGTCACGGCGCTGGTGCGTGCTCGCCACAACACACAGCACTGCGCTGCGTGCGTGAAGTATTGCTCATCACAATTTTCGTTGGTCAGGCATATTGCGTCCTGGAAACCATCATCTCTGGATGTGTATATACGTCACATGCCGCCGCTCAGTGCGGAGGAGCGGCACGTCATGGCCGACTTGGATCAGGAGCTCGCTCGCAGATGGTTGTCTTCCTCCACCTCTACCTTCCCCTCTCGGACTCTCCATGGGCCCGTCCCCCTCAATGCTAGAGCGATCCATCGTAACTAGTCGCGTGCAGATGCCAACCAATTCGTGACCGAATTTGTTGAGCAGGTCACAGGATGGAATCGGCAGATGGTGTCGGCAGTGCCCGAGTCAGTTGTAGAGCAGCAGCCTGACCCGAAGCCGATCGACGTTGAATTTCCGTTTGACACCAAGGCGTTTACAGGTTCGTTGGCCGCTTCGGTGCCCAGGAGAATTCTGCGTAGTCAAGTTGTTGTTGCTCTCCTTTTTTGCGGCCAGCGTAGGGAGAGTGATATTCAACATCAGGTGGAAATTATGTTGGCTCGTCAGATCCCCTCGTTAGAACTAGATGTTCTGGCAGTGGACATTCTTCCAGACAGGGAAATGCGGATTTGACTAAGTCAGGCGCGGTGGCTGTTTGGGCTGACCACATACGTGCTGGTAGAGTCCTGGCCATCGGGGATGGGGGGGCGCATGCGGGACGTATTCGACGGCTAGGTGGAGAGATGCCCCCCCCCCCCAGCGTTGAGGACTTGGCAAGCCCCCTGGGGCCTTACGGCTTTGACGCCCAAGCAGATGCTCCAGGTGCGAGTTGCAAATGATATGTGGCATGCCCACATTGAGCTGTTGGCAATGGCGGCCGTCCCTAAAGCGCTTGGACGGATGGAGCACCCAGCCCCGCATAGCTGGGAGCCGAGATGCGTACCGTCGTGGCACGTTCTTCCAGCCATCCCTCTCATTGCTGTGCCAGCGGCCACGTTTACATGCCTTGATCAGTGCGAAGTTGGGCAGGTCGGCAGGGCGCCGACAGCAATACTATCCATTCGTATGCCCAAGTTACACCGCCTCTAAGAGAGACGCCTGGAGGAAGTGTCTGCTCCCACGGCCCCCGTGCGCACCCGCCTCTCGTCGGATGGGATGAGGTTGAGAAGCGCTGGCGGTCGGCTCAGAGATGTATACATATATAAATATATGTACATATCCGAAGGGGTTACGCAGTGTGCTCGCACAGTCCATGCTTGATGCTCTGTTGCCCACGCTTTTTGGGCCGTCTCGTTGGCTGGATCCCGAACTAGATGATAAAAAGAGTGTGCGGAGCCATTGTTATTTGTTAGTTGATTCGGCTTCTACTGATGTATCGGCCCCACCCGTGGGGCCAGATTTTGCGTTCCGAGCGGCAGTCGGCAAGAAGAAGGCAGCGGCGGCCAGGATTGCAGAGATCCGTAGGCCTACGCCCCCTCAACCTGCTGCGACTCCGAACAAGTATTCCAGGCTCGAGTTTTCACATCGGATTATGTTGATGCCCCAGCTCCTGGTTCTGCACCGCCCCCCCCCCTCCTCCGACCTTGCCCCCTCACATCCCAGAACGAGTAACTGCCAATAGAGCTGCGGCTCTCCAGAGACGCCGTGAGCGCCTCCTGGAGACGCGCATAATCCCTGTTTCCTTGGATTGTCTGCTCGATTCGGCTAGTCGTGCTATTGTGAGCGGCACACAGCTGGTCCAGTCAGATTTACATCGCTGGTTCGTCCAGGCGATATCTAAATCCTAAGGGGGTTGGGGGTATGACATGTATGCTTATTACAAGGGTTGGGTGTGGGGGCTCTCTGTCCTCTACAAACATCTTCACTCTATGTGAAGCACTCTAGGTGCTGTTGCATACATATGCACTCGATGTGCTATGTGAGATGTGGCGGCACAGTGTCTGTGTGTTCGGTTGAGGTTGCAGCGGTGTCCCCTCGTTGTGTCGCCCCGCCTCTGCTCCTCGTTTGTCCTCTGACTCTCCCTCCCCCGTGAACCGCGCCCGCATACGACGCGGTCGTGAGCGCGGTGGACGCCGACTACGGCTACCACAAGGAGGTGGGGGGGAGGCGGGAGGGAGGAGGTCCAGTCTGGTAGGTCTTACGCGTCTTTTACTGTTTTGAGCTTCTGGCTCGGGAACGTTTCCGGGTTTTGCGCCCCTGGGCTGTTCCCTGGCCCCTGCAGGGCCAACGTCGACCGTTGGGCCCAAATGGGCTCAGCACCCGCCCGGCAGAAGAGGTTTGACCTCTCCTTCGTGGACAGCCGTTTCGTTCCGTTCCTCCTCCTCCTCCTCCTCCCTCCTCCTCCTCCTCCTCCTCCTCCTCCTCCCTCCTCTCCTCCTCCTCCTCCTCCTCCTCCTCCTCCTCCTCCTCCTCCTCCTCCTCCTCCTCCTCCTCCTCCGTGGAGTGTTCTCGGCAGGCGCAGGGGCTTCTGAGAGGCCCCGCCGCCGTCCGAGGAGGCCCGCCCCCTCTCGCTGCCCCCCCCCCCTCGGCGCGCCGCCGAGAGCAGGGAGGGGGCAGAAGGGGGCGCCCGTGAGCAAGGCACGAAGCAGCCACACGACCACACCCAACCCTGCGGAGGTCCGCGCGGGCTTCTTTTGCATCGGCGCTGGACGGGCGGCGCCAGAGAAGGTCCGCGCGGGCCTCTTGGGTCGGCGTTGGCACCTCCTCCCTGGCGCGCGGAGCGCGCCAGTCTGGCACCGCCAGCGGGGTCCAGCGTCGATCCGAGAGATCCGCGCGGGCCTCCAAAAGCGGATGCTCGTGCCGTCTTTGCTGGCGGCGCGCACAGAGGGCTGGGGGGAGGGGGGGAAGGCTTCTCAGAAAGAGGCCCGTGCTCAGAAGGCGCGGGCCTTACGTCTGCAAGTAGACAAGGCCCGCGCCTTCTAAGAGGCAGGGGTGCTTCTAAGGAAACCTTCCCCTCTCTCCCTGCCCCCCCTCTGCGCGTGGACGACTTTGGCTCTCTGCTCTTCGAGGGAGGTCGAGCTCGAGACTGAGGGGCAAGGTTGGTCAGGGGGGGGGGCCAGCTCCAGGGGGGGCGGGGGGGAACCTCGACCTGGAATCGAAGATGCCTCGCCGATGGATCAGCGATGGACTCCCGATAGCGACTCCGCACGGTCCTGCGCGGGGGATGGGCTATGGGGCCCCTCTCGGCTATCCATGGGCGGTTGGGGGTCGATGCGTCCCCCCTGACTTCGGATCCGCCGTACTTGTGGGCGATTTCGCACGTAGGGCGGACATTTCCGCCCTACTTTTCAAGCTCCCTTGATGTCGAGTTTCGCCCTACTTTGCCGTCGCACCTTTCCGCATAGTTTTGCGGAAATGCCCACTTTATCTTTCTGACTGTTCCGCCTCGTTTGGGGTGCACTTCTGGCACAAGCTTGAGTCGGAGAATCAGCCAAAGCACACGGCGGATCCGAAGTCAGGGTCTACCTCAACCTAACGTTGCCCCTGAGCGAGGTCGAGGCGAGCTCGAGGCGCTCCGCGCGGTTCTTTCCGCTGCCGGCGCCCCCGCCGGAGCCGGGGCCGCCGCAGCCGCCCCCCAGCTGCCCCGCCAGCAGCGCCGTCGGAGCCGCTGCCTGCCCTCGAGGCCGGCCCCGGCACCGGCGCGGGCGCCGAGGCACCTGCGGCAGCGGCAGGCGAAGCCGCGCAGCGCGCGCAGGAAGGCCCGGCGGGTCTTCCTCGAGAGGCCTCTCCAACGGGGTCCAGGTCGACCATCGCTCTGCACCTTCCGCGCCCTCCGCCGGCAGGTCCCGCGCTGACGCGGCCGCCGCCGCGGCCGTCTCCTCGACCTGCACCTTCCGCACCGTGCCGGGCTGCCGCGGCCGCCGCCGCGGCTGCAACGGCGGCCATCATCGAGACCGCAGCGGCGGCCGCCGCAGCCGCATCGCGGCGGCACCTTCTGCGCGGACGGTGCGGAAGGTACAGGTCGAGGGGATGGGGTCGAAGGATTGCGCCGCATCGCTGATCCATCGCCAGTGCATCGGCGATGCATCGGCGACCCATCGGCGATGCATCAGCGCCGCCGGCGTGGAGGAAATCGGGCTCCACGTCGCACCGCATATCGCCGATGCGTCGGCGATGCGGCGCGATCTTCCGACCCACTCTTGTAGGACCCCGTTTGGGGGGGCCTGGATCCTCGGCGACCGCAGCACCATGGGCGGGACGTAGGAGATGGTCACCTCTTTGTCGGGCACTGCCGTGAGCGAGCAACGACATGTGCACATGTACGCCCTCCGCGGTCCTGCGTGCACGAACCTCCGCGCTCAAACGCAATTCGGCGGAAACAAACCGCGTACATGTACATATGTTGTTGCCATCTGATGCCGGGCCCGGATAGCCGACGGTGCGGTTTTTGCCAGGCGGCGTCTGCTCCACAGACTCTTTGGCCCTGCTGGGGCGGCTACCGGCCGCAGGACCATCAAACATGGCTGCCGGGGCCCTGCGGGGAAGGCGGGGGGGCCTCTCGGAAGCTCTCCTGCTTGCTGTGAGGCAGCATTGCCCACCGGTCGGAAGGAGTAGGTAGAAACAGGAAGCAGGAAGGCGTTGAAAGTAGATGGGGTGTCCGCCCGCCCCCCTAAGAGGAGGGCAAAAGGTGAAGCCACTCGATCATTGAAGTAGGAAGGCGCTTAAAGTAGATTGGACTCTGGGAATCCCAAAATACCTACCTTCAACAACGACCGATGGGTAAGCCTCCGAGCCCCTCTGAGAAGCCCCCGCCATCTTAGCAGGCCACCCTGCCCGCCTCACCCCTTTGGCTCGTCTTCAGCGACCAAGAGAGAGGGGTCCTACGCACGGCGACGCACCGGCCTTGCGTGATGCCTCGCAGAGGCCGCCAGCAAGGCACACTGCGCGCAAACGAGGGCGCACACTCGCGACCCTACCTGGGCAGCTCACGCGCGCAGTCGACGCCGCTTCTTCCTACGTCGCCCACCTGGTCTCCGGCCTGCAGCGGCCGCCGGGCCCTCAGCATCACCGCCCGGGGATGGCCCGCCCACCCGCACAGCTCATGCATCGGGGCCGCCTCGACCACCTCGCAGCTCGGAGCGCACGAATGCGAGGCCAGGCACGCGGTGCGGTACAGCGCGAGGCAGCCGTCGCCGAGCTTGATGGCGTTCGTGTTCAGGATGCCGTGGAGGCGCTGCACCTCTTGAGCAGGGGCCGACCGTCCCGGTATTCCTGTAATCAGGCCTGCCACGACGTGTTCGTAGAACCCAGAAATGCTCGAATCACGAAAACCATATTCTTACAACATAAACCAGGTGTGTTAAAACAAGACAGTCTTAGCCATAGGAGGGTGGTTGATGCTGCCAACGAGGCGCAGCGACGAAGTAGCAATGACCGCATGGAGAGCACGACGCGGGTCACGAACGCGAGGATGATGAGCGTGGAAGTAGCAGGCAGTTCGCTCTAAAGACCACGAGCGAGACCAATTCGAGAAGCAAGAAACAGAGAAACGGGAGGGGGACCCTTCTGTCACGGAGGACCTCCGCCTCTCCGTTCAATTGTCCCCTCTGTCACGGAGGGGCAGCACTGTCACCGAATCGTGGCTTCTGGCTTCTGGAGTAAGAGCACTTCGTGCAGACTACAAGAGGTCCTTCGAACCGTCTTTGGCGGGCCTGCAAGCCAGCCAGGACGCTTCGCCACTGCCTCGGCACCTCTGGCCAGTCCGCCGTGGCGGCCATGGCAGGCCTCTCCGCCAGCAGCCGCCCGACCGCCCGCCGCGCGGCCCGCAGCACCGGCGCCGAGTCCGCCCGGAAGTCGTCCACGGCGAGCCGCTGGATGGCCGGCGGGGGCGGGCCACGGCCGCCCCCGCCGCACGGGAGGCGCCGCAGCGTCCGACAGCCCAGACCCCCACGCGTTGGTCAACGTTTTTTTTATTCGGCGTTTCGACGTTGGGCGGAAGGGGGGGGGGGGTGGGGGGGCCTGGCTCCAGACCTCTGCTCAGTGCGGCTGTTTGCAACACTGAGGCCTGGACTCCTTCCCCGGGACCGGTTTTTCGTACGAGCCCATGTTTTGGAAGTCCCGAGGCCCGGCGAGGGCCCCCGAAGGCCGAAAAGAGCGAACAACCTCCCGTCGCGATTTTTTTCACGACGCGAGGGGGTCACTGGGGAAAAAGCCAAAGCGCCGAGCGCGGAAAAATTGAGACGCCTGGATCTCAGGGTGGGCCACGCATCCTCGGCTTCTGATGTTCCAACCTGCTCTAGCCTTGATCACTAGAAAGAACTTCGAGCACGAAGAGAAAGAGTACCGAAACTGGGGGGCTTTCACGTGTCGGGCCTCGGGAAGCGACGCTCGTTCGACACTGCTTCGATACTGTTCGGGGTGCTCGAGGTTACTTTGGGGATGTGGTCCCGAAGTACGAACGATTTGAGCAGGGACCGACTGTCCCGGCATTCTTGTAGTCCTACCACGAATTGTTCTTAGAACCCAACAAATGTTCTCATAACAAGAACAAGGTTCTTAGAACACAAACCCGACGAGTTTAAAGCAAGACAATCTCAGCCAGAACTCTTCTGAGACCGTCTCGTGGCAACCACAAGCAGGTTCTTAGAACCTTGCTTGGTAGGGCCATCGGCGAGCCGGGACGCATCGCCACTGCTTGAGACTCCTCGGCCCAAGCCCGCCCGGCGTGGGGCGGCCGCCGGCCACGGCCACGGCCGGCCACGGCCCGCTGGCGGCCAGCGCCGCGTAGGCCGCGTAGGCGCCCAGCGAGCGGTAGGTGCCCAGCGCGGCGCCGGCCTCCAGCAGCGCCTCGCGCGCGGCGCGCGGCGCGCGGCGCGACCCCGAGATCCTGGCGTGGCACTTGTTTCACAGCGGGCGCGCTCGCTCCATGTCGGGCCACGGGACCCTCACGGATCGATCTGGCTCGAAGAACGGCTCGGGCAAAATGGGGTCCAGGGCCCCAGTCGCGATGTTCTGCGATGCCGCAATTGTTTGCAACGTCGGATGTGTGCGTCGCCCCCCACAGAGGCGACGCGCGCACCGAGAAATCTTCTAGTATATGCAACGTGGCGGGCGCTTTCTGGCCACACCGCCCAGGAAACGATATACTACGAGATGGATATACTATCTGCTCGGGTCGGACGCTCGCCTCCAAGGAGCACATATAGTACTAGTAATTAGGTCTCTGCGCGTCCCAAATCGCAACGCTACCAGCCCGTGCCAGAGTGCATGCCATATCGCAACGCTACAAGCCCGTGCCAGAGTGCCAGCCAGCCCGTGCCAGAGTGCCAGAGTAGTGGTCGTCCGACTCTCCGCTGGAGCTTGATCCGATTTTAGGACAGCTGCTGCATACAGAAAAGGAAGCGGATGAGGAGGAGGAGGCTCCAGGAGGAGGAGGAGGAGGAGGAGGAGGAGGAGGAGGAGGAGGAGGAGGAGGAGGAAGAGGACCAGGAGGAGGAGGACGGAGAGGGGGAGAGTGATGAGGAGGAGGGGGCGGCTCCGCGGCAGAATCAGACAGGCTATCGCAACACTACCTTCCCAGACCCCCGACGTCGTGATTTTTCCACGACGTCGACCCCCCCACAGGTCTGGACCGCTGCCCCGGGAACGGTTTTGCATCCCGAGCTGTTTTTGACGGTCCCGAGGCCCGGCAAGGGCCCGCGGAGACCGACAATAGCGACTTAAGCCTCCCGTCGGTCCGGGGAGGTGGGGGACCAGGAAGAGAGTTCAGTCGGGCGTGCCCCTCTACAGGGGGAACATTCAAAAATGGTCTAAAAATCATCTGGGGATTATTTGTTCCATATGTTTTGACCATTTGGGGGTATGTTTTTACTCTTTTTTTATTTTTCGTCCAAAATCCCGACTTAAGAAAGAGAGGGGCGCGCCTGCGCGCCAGGCGCGGCGCAGACCAGCGCGGTGGCGTTCTCCGGCACGCAGAGCAGGGGCTCCTCTGCCCGTCGACCCCCCGAGGACCCCCTGCCCCTCAGACGTGATCGCGTCGCCAAAAATTCAGGACGGCAGGTTTTCGACCGTTTTCGGCCTCTGGGGGGCCCTCGCTGGGCCTCGGGGCACTCAGAAAACGAACCAGGATGAACAACTGGTCCTGGGGAAAGGGTCGGGACTTCCAGGGACACCGAATTGAACAAAATCAGGACGTCGCATGTCTGGGCCAGGACTGGATTGGCAGAAGCATAAACTGTTGAGGGTCCGCGCGGATTTCCTGGATCTGCGCTGGGACCCCCCTGGCGGCGCCTCCGGCGCCGCCCCTGGCGCGCTGCGCGCGCCAGGGAGGGGGGTCAAGCGCAGTCGCGCTGGTCGACACGACGCGAACCTACTGTGAGCATGATTTCTCTGAGTCCGCCTGGATTTCTTGGATCGGCGCTGGCCCCCCTCCCTGGCGCGCGGAGCGCGCCAGGTGCGGCGCCTGAGGCGCCGCCAAGGGGAGTCCCAGCGCAGATCCAAGAAATCCGGGCGGACACAAACAACATATCCGTCATGACTGTTTCTCAGCGCGAGGAGGTCTGGGTCCGGGGCCCTCCCTCGCGCCGTGGGGAAAAAATCGCGGCGGACAGCTTCTCCTCGCGGTTGCTGCACTATTCTTGGCCTCGGGGGGCCCTTCTACCGGGCCTCGGGGCCGTCAACCGACGACTCACGTCCATGGGACTTGCGTTCCCAGGCATGACCGCTTCGTGAACAGATCAGGAGGGGAGACTTTTGGCCGTTTTCGGCTCCTGGGAGCCTTCGCTGGGCCTCGGGACTGTCAAGAGACGGCTCAGGATGAATAATAACCCGTCCCGGGGAACGGGTCGGGACTTCCAGGGACCCCGTACTTACAAAATGAGGACGTCGCCTGTATGGGCTTCACCCCGCAGGATGAAAAGCTGATCCCCAGGAAGGGGCCCAGACGTAGCAGCAGGGGTCCACGCTATGAGAAGCCATGACGTCGGGGGTCTGGGGTGCGGGCAAGATCAGTCCGCATCGAACCGGGAAGTCGGATCGAATCGGACTGTGCGTCGGATCGGGCTGCGTCGGCACGGAAACGGAATCGGAGTCGGATGGGTCGCGCCAGCCAGGACGCACAATAACGACGTATAAGCATCGGGACGCATCAAGTGATCATAATATCGGAATCGCATCGGATCTGGCCAGCCAGACGAGGAGGGGAAAGGGGGGAGATGAGGAGATTCCTACCTTCCTCGTTCTCGCCGCCGCGACATGCGGCGCCTCGGTGCCAATTAACTAGGGCGGAGGTCGGGGAAGAGGAGGGAGCGAAAATGACGGCCAGGGATCCGAGCCCAGACTCCTGTGGAGTGAGCCTGCAAGGGATTCCCCTCGGCCCGACAAATCGATCGATCGCTGGCATGCAGGAACCCCAGACACCCCAGACACCCTCGAGATGTGAACAAAAAACACGACGGGAAGTTTTTAGGTATTTTCGGCCTCTGGGGGCCCTTACCGGGCCTCGGGGCCGTCAGGAAACGACTCGGGATGAAAAGCCGGTCCCGGGGAAGGGGTCCAGACCTCTCGGGGGTCGACGTTGTGAAAAGATCACGACGTCGGGGGTCTGGGGACGGGTCCTATGAGGGCAGCGGGTCCTGGACCCATGGCCATCCTCGAGGGCACTGGTTTCTCTCACCCCGAGCCATCTCCTGATGGTTCTGGGGACCGCATAGAGGGCCCCGCCGGTCGCCCGAACATAGACCCAAAACCCTTCCCTGGACCCGCCCACGTAACCCTCATGGCGGACCGATCGATCCCTTGCGCCAGGTGGTCGCCTCCTCCTCCTCCTCCTCCTCCTCCTCCTCCTCCTCCTGCTCCTCCTCCTCCTCCTCCTCCTCCTCCTCCTCCTCCTCCTCCTCCTCGTGCTCCTCGACGAACAGCACCGCCCCGCGCGCGGCCGCGCGCGCCGCGACGAGGCTCCGGTCCCCGGCCACGTCCCGCACGACGGAGACGGCTTCGAGGGGCGGGCGCCGCCAGGGGGGCGCTTCGGGGGCGCGCTGCATGGCGGCGGCCCGCGGGGCACTCGCGCGCGGATCTCTGGCGCTTTTGCACCATGCAGGCCAGGCCGCAGCTGTCGCCGGCGTCGCCGCCGGCATCGCCGGCGCCACCGCCGTCGTCGCGCCGCCGCCGCCCTCGCCGCCGCCCTTGCCGCCGCCGTCGGCGTCGCCGCCATCGCGCTCGGCGCCCTCGTCGCCGTCGCAGCCGCCGTCGTCGTCGCCGTCTGGGAGGACCCCGCATGAGGGCCTTCGAGGCCCAGCGGGAGGGGAAGGAAGGGGCGAGGACGGTAAGGGAAGGGATGGGGCGACGAGGAAGGAGGATCAGGGGGAGTTGGAGGAAGAAGACGAGAAAGAGAAGAAGGGGTGGAGATGGAGAGGAGGAGGGGTGGAGGAGGACCAGAGGGGATGGAGACGAGGAGGAGCGCGGAGGGGAAGAGGACCTTGCGAGGACGGGTGAAAACGAGAGGGTGGATGAGGAGGACGAGGGAGGGCGAGGAGGACGAGGCGGACGAGGAGGATGAGGAGGAAGAGGAGAATAAGGACACGGGAGGGCGAGGGAGGAGTGCAAGACTGGGGAGGAGAGGGGAGGGAAGATGAAAGCGAGGATGATGTGGATTCAGCCTACACGGCCAGGTCGTTCAGCATGTCCCTGTCGCTTGACTGACCCTTTCGCCGAGCCCACTTTTTATTGCCAGATGCCAGTCAAGACCTACCTAGACTCGTCGCTAATCTCTAAGTCAAGG